CTACGTTTTTCATGCCGGGTCAAATTTAGAAAATATGATCAATAAACTGGATTACAATCTTTCCGTGACGCCAATATAATTAATTTAATATTAACCGGTCTCTATACAAAGGTTTTTTAAATTAATTTTTAATTAATTTTCTTTTAACGTCTTTAATAATTACGTTCTTTTTTCAAAATACCTATAGTATTATAAAAGATTTTCATACTTTGTCGTTTTCCATAAATATTATTGTATAGATTTCTTATCCTTTTACATAAGGGAGTTATAGTTAAGTTAGTTATATAAAGTGTTCAATTCTAACATTTCAAAATTGGTTGTCAATAATATGATGGTGACGACATTTTTTCGTGAGGTCAATTTTGTAACGCGAGTTTCTCGTTTTGATCAGCCTTTGCCATAGTGAATTTGTTTAGTTATTGTTCAGTATTTTGGCAAAGAATTTTTTATTGCGGGGTCAATTTTAGAAAAGATGATCGAAAATTGGATAATATTATTGTAGTAGCGTCAATATAGTTAATTTAATATTAACCGGTCTTTATACTAGTTTTTTTCTTAGATGTCTTCGTTAATTAGGTTTTTAATCTTAATCAATAGTTATGTATTATTATAATTACATGTGTCGTTTTCCATAAATATTATCGTATAAATTGCTTACCCCCTTTTACTTAAGGAGTTTAAATCTAACATTTCAAAACTGGTGGTCAATGATATAATGTCGATGGGTTTTTTCGTGATGTCAATTTTGTAAAGCGCGTTTCACGTTTTGATCAGCCCTTACTATACTGAATTTGTTTAGTTATTTTTCAATATTTTGACTAATCATTTTTAAAAGACTCAAAGATATTTGAATCAAGACGAGGTTTCAATGTGAAGGAGTGTTGTCACTGGACAATTTTTCCTATAAGAGACTCGAATGACAAATTCACGAACATATTTACTTAAGACAATATTTACAGTTGTAAATATCAAGTAAATATAGTTTAAAAAGAATCAGGTCAATAATTCTGAATTCGACTTTTTAGCCGAGATATTCTAAATTTGTATTTACAAGTTGTTATCTTATGTTACCATTTGTTGATAGTGTTTCGATAGCGTGCGATTCGAACTGATCGTTTTTTAATTCGTGCATCCTCATTTGGCTCAATGTAGAATTTTACGTAATGTCGTTCGATATATTGGGCAAAGCATTTTCCTGCATTGGACTGCTAATTTTACTTGTGGGTGGCCGGAACAAGACCAATTGACTTCATATTTATATTGCATTGGTATGGGGGGCTTACTTTATATGTTGGGACGGTTTACATGAAATGTATTGAACTTATGGAACTAGCTGTTATATGGTTGATCAAAATGGCTTGGATATAGATCATAGTTTTTAATAATTTTTAATGATATCCTTAACTGAAATAAAATCACTAAATTTCAGGTTGTTTTTGTTTTATTGTAAGAAAGCGTGGTAGAAACCCTTTCTCTTATTGCTGGTTTTATTTACGCTACAATGCTCTTTTTCGCTGAGAGTATTGCGAATCCGCACGAGACCATTCGACAGTAGTGCGACTTTTCCTCGAATAAACTCGAAGCTATTTTGTCTACTTTCCTGCTGAATTTATACGGAGATTCGACTTCCAGGGGAAAGCAAGAAACAGTTGTTAGACAGGCGTGAAAAGGCCCCTGGGGAATCTGGGAAAAGAGGACACTCCTTTTTATACAGAGCGAAAAGTCCAAGTCTTAGGGTCTGCCTTCCGAAGAAGGATTGTCTTTTTGCCCTCGGGTTGTTTTTTTCACTGGCAAATTGTTTTACGACACTGCCCCTCTTCTAAAACAGCAATTTTCTTTGCGATTTCCACATTTTTCCTCAGACGTCTCCTAGACCGAAACGGTCGGCCATGAATCCAATCCGGCAAGGATAACGATGTCGATCCTTGAAATCGGTGGATTATTTTTTTAACGTAGAAAATGTGTCGCAGAGCCTTGGCATACATGGAAACTGTAAATAGATGTAACCTGGTTGGTTGTGCAATGTTAAGGTGCCAATGGTTTGTAGACTTTAGGATTTCAAAAAAACAATCTTAAATCCCTACGTATAATTATTGTTAAAAAGTGTACAACCTCTTAAAATGAATAGATATGCGAAGCTAACAATATTTGCTGACCCTGTTGAACTTTTCAAGGCGCACATTCAAATATAAATTTAATGTTGATATCGGTTGACATCTGTGAAAGCGAGGAAGTCTTATTTGCGAAGTGTTGACGTCAAAGCGGTGAAACTTTCTGCGGTAAGCACCTCAAATAACGAAGTTAGACTAGGCCCGGTGAAATGTCAACGTTTATACGAAAATGGATTTATCGGGTTGTCCGGAAAATAATGCAGGATTTTAAGTTTTCATTAAAAAAAATCTATATAAAATATTCTGTTTCCGTTTACAGGATTACTCATTTGTATGAATGTCAACACTTATTATTCCTCTTCCAAATGATATTGTTTGTTTACCTCTGTAGCATTCCGCTACTTGGAAATAATTCAGTCATCCTTATAATGTCAAAGCGAGAATTTCGTACGATTNAAAGAACATTGCTTTAAAGTAACTAGTTTCTTTTTTTTTGTTTAATACCAAAATCCTGCATTATTTTCCGGACAACCCAATAATACATTGGGCGTCCCTTTTCAAAAGGGCGTAGATGTTTTGATTAATTTTTAAATCTGTTCTAAAATATCTGCTCAACTTTTTGAAAATATGTGGTGATTAGTGACCGTTAATCGATAATTATTCAGAAATCGTGAGATGCGGTCTGGTGTGTTCTAGGTTTCAGAAAAACATTTTCTTTATCGTGCCAACGTTTCGATCTTTGCACTCTCAACACGACACGCAAGAATGGCACAATTACTCAGAAGACAAACACTTTGAGCCCTGAAGATGATCTCAATAAAGATAGAAACGTTGGCACGATAAAGAAAATGTTTTTCTGACACCTACATTACACTAGACCGCATCTCACGATTTCTGAATAATTTTTGAAAATAGTTAAACGACACTTGGAATAAATAATTCATTAATATTTTTGGCAATTCCCACAGAATTAGTTAAAATTGTTCGTCTATTTGCAGTATTAAGTAGAGTTACGAGAGGACAGGCGAACTAGGTATGTGGAGATCAGAATTAGGCTTAAAAATTATCCCTGTCTGATCTACATTTTGAATACTTTCACTAACACTCCTATCTTAATTAACTTTAATTAAAAATTAATTTTAATTCGTTATGCCAAATGCTTAGTAAAACAGTGTATTTCAACTGTTTCCAGTTGTCTGACAGTGAGAACTCTTTTCCTTCGGCCTCATTTTCGCAGTATTCATTCTGCAAAATTATCTAACTCCACTGTAAGGGTCGGATTTCACGGATTCAACCATCGTGGGAAGAGGCAATTTTTTAACACGACCCCATCTAAAAAAGGAGGAAAAAGATCAGACCGCTGGTATAAACAAGTGAATTATGATCCTTTTATATACAGGCTCTAGCTAGAAAAAATATACAATTTATTCGCAAACCGGATTTAAACGTGCTGGTTTAAAACCTCGATCCTGTCCTAAATTTATTAAATCGTGAACTTAAGGCCTATATTTTTTTTGCTACAAAATCTAATAGGTTTATTTTGCTTTGCGCTTGGATTATGCAATTTTCTCTAAAATGTAGAAGGCTGTTATTAATTATTTACAATTATTTATTAATTTCTCAATTTCACTCCCTCGTATGTTGAATTTGTCTTGGATTGAGGCCGAGTCTTACATTGAGCTTCATTTTTAAAATGACACATCGTTTCAACAGCCCGTTTGATTGATAAGAGTTACTTGTTGATAACAGTCTGAAAACGAGCCCGCACGGTTGGTTATTGAACCACATGAAAATCAACTTTTTGTCCCCATATTAAAGAACAAAAAACTCTAACAACGGTAATTATCTCGGGCTTGGTTTCATCGCAGTACATCAAAACGACTCACGACTGGGTTTGCGTGCCGGGGATCTTCCACGGAGTAAAAGAAGACCGGCAATAAACCTATCTGAGAGAAGAAGAGCCCCGTTAGAAGACTACGTTTTATCTGGATAGCACATGAAAGCTTGGCAGGACACGAGCCATTTTTTCCCCGTGGATCGACCCCGTTAACCGTTGGCAGAAGTTTGATCACCACCGTCTATGCTGGATTTTCTTAATTTCCTGCTGGCAAGGGAAGATGAGATTTTTATCCTTCGATTTCGTTCTATAGTTCTATGGATCAACTCAATCACGAACCAGTAGAACTTCAAATAATTTATATTTGTTAAAGAAATTAACCCTAAATTTTGACATCGAGATTACCACTGGCAATGTAAATCTCATATCTCATTTTTAAAAGCTTTAATACGCTGAGATAAATTCAGGTTTGATAAGATATATTTCAAAACTAACAAACATCACGAATTGATTAAGAAGTCAGTGTGCTATAGGCTTGTGTGTTTTATATATATATATNATATATATATATATATAGAGAGAGAGAGAGAGAGAGAGAGAGAGAGAGAAAGATATGATATAGATGGCAATATTGTTCTGAATATCTCATTAACAAGTTAATGTAAAATTTGTTCAGTTATTGGAAATATCGTACCATGTCGAGCTTATTACTAGTTTTTAAATCGTTTTATTAATAATTGAGAGAGGAAAAAAGAGAGTAAGAAAGGATGAAGAGAGAAAGCGAGGGACAGGAAAAAGAGAAAGGGATAGAAGAGTGACAAAAGAGAAAGAAGACGAAAAATACCACAGATAAATGGATAGCTAGATTCAATTTAACTCATATTTACATACAGATACACAATTTATCTCAATCAAAACCGTACTTAAAGATTAATTAATTGAAAAGAATTTGTTTGGTCAATCGGAATACGAAACCTAATCGATTTAGCTCAGAACATTTGCACTCTACACACTCGCACAATCCTATTGTTAATTAATAAACGTCATTTCTAACAGAAGAATAATTAATGTTTTGCTTTGTTTTTAGGGCAGTTACGGACCCCCGAGATGGTAGAAGAGTCGCCCTCAAGAAGCTGCCCAACGTGTTCCAATCCTTGGTATCGTCCAAGAGGGTATTCCGTGAGCTCCAGATGCTGTGCTTCTTCAAACACGAAAACGTAAGTAAGACGATGAGAAAATTTTAGATTTATATTTATTTGTACATCGTGAGATCCGGTCTGGTGGGATGAAGTTTAGAAAAACGTTTTTTTATCGTGCCAACGTTTCGATCTTTATTGAGTTCATCTTCAGGGCCTGGGATTTATAAACATTGTTTAAATTGTACAAATACATGTAGGATGTAAATAAAAATCTCCAAATAATCTTTAACTAACGGTCACTAAACACCACACATTTATAAGCAATTTAGTGAACCTAAGTCGAAAAATTGAAAAAACCAAAACTTGAAATTACTTCTTTAAAATTGAGATTTAGACAGGGGTTTATAGGACGTTTTGTGTTGTATATGGTGAGTATAATCTGAAATTGTCGACACTATGGTGAACCTCTGTTGAGTTGGATCGGTTCTTTCCTGATTCGTAGATCTTTTCTTTTGAAGGAGTGGGGAAGGATGTAGGGATAAAAATTCATTTTTCTATGAGGAATCGGCTTTCAGGTGAAAGGGAGGACCGCCAATGGAAAAAAAGTGATGGATCGTTGTTCGGGCCTTTCAGGATTATTAAGGAAAAAAAGAGATAAATTGTTGTGGTTTAGACTATGTAGAATATTAATTAAGGTTTTTAGTTGAGATAAAAAAGTCAGTGGCACGAGCGGGATTCGAACCCACGATCTTCGGCTTGATACGCCGCTGCTCTACCACTTGAGCTATCGTGACCTCGATTCACTCGGACACACTAACTTCCTAGCTTAACCCCCACCTTTTGAATTTTCTCTCCTTTATGCCATTTTTGGATCTAGGTCACGATAGCTCAAGTGGTAGAGCAGCGGCGTATCTAGCCGAAGATCGTAGGTTCGAATCCCGCTCATGACAATGACTTTTTTATCTCAACTAAAAACTTTAATTAATTGAAAGATATTAATTGGTCAAACGGACCACGAAATTTAGTGAATTTACTATGTACAATTCTTTGTCGTATGGAGTGTAATGATTATTTTATATGCTTTGTGGGTTATATGTATGTTATTGATATCGAATTTGATTTATGATATTACCATAGCTGCGGCTGAGTTTACATGTGTCTGTAATTGATGCTTTGTTTATCTTTGTTGATGTAAACCATTTCTAAAAAGTTACGTTTATGTTTGTTTCGTTCTGTGTTTAATATTTTTGGATTGTTGAAACGGTTTGCACGTTTGATTTCTAATTTTCCCCACGGGGCGACAAGCGCTCTTGGGAGAGATTAGAGATGTTCAGCGTGTACCGGAAGTGACTCACTTGTAGCCCATTAACATGACCCATTTAATTGCTGCATTTTAACAAGAAGACTCACACATTTTGGGTCCCGGTTAAAAAAGGGCGTCAACATAAACCAGTCGGTTAAACCGTTAAGCACTACGTGAAGTACGTGAAACGTAAATTAGTGGGTATTATTCAACTCCCCATAGGACGTCATGTTCAAACGATAATTGGAAATTCGGCAAAGGAACAAAACAGGTGAATAGGAAAAGTTTGGTCAAGGACTGTCAAGAAAGAAAAGTATTTCAGCTGTTTTTCTTAGTTCAATGATCATTATTGCAATGAGCCAGTTAAGCATAAAGTAACAGTACATATGAAAAATTATTCCATCACGTCTAATATGAACAAGAGATTTTAAAAATGACTAAAATCACTTTTTTCTCTGCTTTTGGTGGGGCCATTGGCAAGAAGCGCAGGACACGTGTCCAATATTTTTCGACCTAGTATCACCAAAAAATGTTTCATTAAAATCGTTCCCTAGCCTCCCTTTGTTTACAGCCATGAAAGTGCTCAATACATCAAAGGTTTTGCACGTTAAATAGCCAAACGCATTATTTCCTCTTTAATTAATTTTTTCCTCATTTTCTTTTCCTTTTTGTAACATTGAAAGTATTCACATACTTCATTGATTCCGAATTGAATCTTTTACCCATTTTTTGGCAATTAAACTGCTTTTTTGTATAATCTCATTTAAAATCTCTCAAACAGTTAATCGTCAATCTTTATAAATTTGTTATAAAAAGGATTACTTTCGAATAAAAGTATGTTTTTTCTATTCTTGTCAACCTGTCGTTCGTCTGATTTGATGTCTATCTCTACATGTACATTTACATAAAAATTGATGAAATGTCAAAACAACATAAAAGGCTCAACCAGATTTTTGCATAGACATTTTTCTATCCTAGTGAAAACTGCACTATATGGAAAGGTTGGCAGATGCAGATCTTAGACCTTGGTCTTTCAGCAATTGAACCAAAACGGACTAGAGTTACTATTTTATTAATTAGCTTAATTAAATTAGGTAAATTAATGGCTTAATTAAGTTGAAACTGGAATTGGAATGGCTGGCAAGATTGCAATCATCTCGACGTCACACTCTATCACCAACAGCAGGTGGTGCCGCTAAAAGTGCAAGGTGGCTAAACTGCACCTGCTCCTGGGAAGGATTTTTTTTTCTCATCAGGCCAATTCCTAATAACTTCAACATTTTTTCCCTAAGTTAGAGTGATGTACATAAAGATTTTTAAGTTGACTATTTTGGCTACTAAATATTTTAAAAGAACATCATAATCGATAAAATCTATAAAAGAATTATTTTCCTTTAAAAGTCTTACTCGAGAAATTGACGTCATTCTCGAAATGGGTAGTTAATACCAAGCCTTACTCATAAGGAAAATTTAACATTTACGAACTTTCATGTTTATGCGACATTGGATGTCGAGCACGCTTTAAAATTAAAGCAATTTCCTGCTCCTAGCCATTTATTTAGGAAATAAAAAGCTGGGAAGTCTTGTTTTTGACAGTTTAAAAAGTGGTAAAGGAACGGCCATTGATTTTCCAAAGTGATCGGAAGTTTGTACAAAGTTTTATAATCGGTTTGTTTAACAAAAATTATTCTTAAAACGGATCGCTATGTACTAACAAAGAAATATCAAGGTATAAACTTTTAATGTATAAAAAATTAAATGCCTGTCAAATGTTCAATGTTCTTTGCCCATTTGAGAAATACTTTACACAACTGTGTAAAAGCAAAACAAATTGCGAAAAGGTGCGACAAAACATAAATTGTACCACTGAAATATCATAAATAATGAAAATACACAACCTTAATTCTTCCAACTCTTTAAAGTAATCATTAAATAACAAAGTTTCAAAGGGTAGAAATTGAAATTTTATTCTCGAGAACAATATTACCAAATGTTTCCAGCAATTGAAAATGTCACATTCGGGATTGTCTCACTTTTGGTCTCCATATATCTTATACAAATTACCGACAGTTTATACTCGAAACTTTGTTTTGCATGTATATTTCATAGTGTATATATGTCGACTTGTTTTTTTACAAAGGATGAAAAATCATAAGCAAGATTTAAATGAGATTAAATACATAAAGTTGCATAAGGTCCTAAACTACTGTGAAGTTTCCGATGGGTCGGTGGAATCATTGAAAGTTATAACCGTTATTGTTTTGTTTTTTTGTGAAAAATTGGAAGCAAATTTTTTTTTTCAAAAATTTGTACGAAGGGCTTTTGGGGGTGCAAAATACGAGTATCGATTTTTTTGCTAAAAAAAATTAACCTACTACATTACGTCGCTCGGGCACAAAGTTATGTTATATCAATATCTGCAATACTCGAGGTATGCAGAAGAACGTATTTCTCGAAATAGCTGAACTTTCAAGTTTAAAAGCTAAAGACATCGATCACAAAACTATATGATAATAATAAAAGGAAATTATTGAAAATAATTAAATTCACTGATTTCGTGGTCCGCTTGACCAATTAATACATTACAATTAATTAAGGTTTTTAATTGAGATGGAAAAAAAAACGAAATTAGTGAATTTAATGAATTAAAATGAAGTACACTTCACTAAAGCTCTCCGTGGCCATTTCATTTGTCGTCGAGAATCCAATCCGATTACACGACATTCGAAAAATGGCAAAAAGGAGGGAAAATTGAAAAGGTGGGGTTGAGATGGGAAGTTAGTGCCCGAGGGGATCGAAGTCACGATAGCTCAAGTGGTAGAGTAGCGGCGTATTTAGCCGAAGGTCGTGGGTTCGAATCCCGCTCGTGACACTGACTTTTTATCTCAACTTAAAAACCTTAATTAATTGAATGCTGTTAATTGGTCAAGCGGACCACGAAAAATAGTGAATTTAATGAATTAAAATGAAGTACACTTCACTAAAGCTCTCCGTGGCCATTTCATTTGTCGTCGAGGATCCGGTGAGGTTGAGATAGGAAGTTGATGTCCGAGTGGATCGAGGTCACGATTCATCTCAACTAAAAACCTTAATTAATTGTATTGAAAATGATTATTAAACTTCTATGGTAACAAAACAAAACATGAAGATAAAACCATTAAATAAAGGGGAAAAAAGCGTTTAGAAAGCTCATTTGTCACAGAAAGCCAAACTTGAATTATTTGAACACTTTATAGGTTCAAAAAAAAATTGGTGAAAAAGCCTAGACCAATGAAGAATAATGCGTTAAAACTATGACTTCTTTGGAATTTGTGAATCTGTAGTAAACACTTCGACATAGAAATTTAAAGAAAAAGTAAATGGAAAAGAAAGGTCTGGGCGGCTAATTCTTCGTCACTATGAAACTAGTCAAGTAGTTAGATCAAGGTTATAAATCAAACGCAGTGTCAGAAATAAGTAAAAATAAAAAGCTGGATAAGAACTTCGGAAAACTATTGACGTAGTTAATTAGCTCATTCAAGGTTTGAAAACGAACTAACCAGTGATGTAAATACTTTTAAAAAGTTTGGATTAGTTTAAATAGTAGTAGAAAGAGTTACATAAACGACAGCGTACATATTAGGAAAAATGTGATACTAGAAAATTTACAATCGCTTTAGGTGTTTTAGAGGACTGTCGGGGAAGGGTGATGAAGGGTACACCTAGGGGTTGATGTGAGGGTTAAGTTTTATACAGTCGCCTGTATCGACTTGTTGCGGTTCCGAGCACAAATGGG